CCCAGCAGCAGAAATCCCTCCGGGAGATGATGCGAAGGACAACAAGCGACCTCTGCTGAGGAGGGACCGCAGCAGCACATGGCAGGGGGACAGGCCGGGGAAGCCCCTGGAACAAAAGGCGCTGGTTCCGAGGCAGCGGGACGGAGCAAAGGCACATTTCCCACGGCACCGCAGGGCTCCGAGCCCGCAGCAGGGCTGGGGCAGCCCGGGACACCCTGAGCAGAACCGGCAGCAGATCCCCGGCAGCCACGCTGCCAGCTCCTGGTGCCCTCCTTGCTGAACCTGTGCTCGCACGGCTCCGATTTGTCCTCAAGCAGCACCTGGGAGCCGAGCAGGATCTCCCTGTGCTCATCCGGAGCTCGATCCCGGCCGGGCCGAGCAGCTGCTGCTGTGTCCGTGGCTGTGCCAAGTGTCTGCCCGTCCCCTCGCTGGGACACTCCTGCTCCTTCAAAGCAACCTTTATCTGCCTGTTCCCCTTTGGGCTGCTCCCTTCCTGCTGCCAGCCACCCTTGCACGGCTCTCCCAGACCATGCCCAGCAGCAGAGAGATGTAAGTGGGAGATGCTGCAGTGACCAGCGTCTCCAGACACGCCACAGCCACATCCACGCAAAAAAAAACCACCCCAAACATAAACCCCACACCACAAGAACCCTAAAGCACTGAGATTCAGTCCTTGTGAGTATATAAACACACAGAAAACTTGTCGAGCAGAGCAGCTGCAGCCCCTGGGAAGGGGTCTGGGCTGTCCGTGTAACTCCACACACAGACGGAGCCTCCAAAGGGAGCCGCACATTCACCCAGCTCCGGCTTTGGGAAAGGGGCGGCAGCAGGATGACCCCGGGGGAGGAGGGGGCTGCCCCCAAATCCCCTCGCCACCTTCCCCTCCTTTCCCCCATCTCCCAGCCCAGCCGAGCAGAGGGATCCTGTACACAACTTTTTCAAACTGCCAGGCAGAAGAATCCCAGCCTTTCCAAGGGAGTGTCGGTAAATCATCAGTACATCCGACAACGCAGCCAGCGGGATTAAATTAACCCTTTGCGGGCTCCCAGGGAAATAATAACAACAACAACAACAAATCCACCCCCAACAAGGCATTTAACAGTGAAAACAGTAAAATTTGGTCCCAGCTGTGGGGGAAGGGGGACGGGCAGGGTGTGTGCCGGGATCTTTTCATCCACACACGGATGGAGAGGGAGCAGCGTTTTGTGTGTGCCGAGCACATGAAGAGCTGCCACCGCTCACCTCCGCCGTGCCTCAGCCTTCCGGGCTCTCCCACCTCCCGCGGCCAGACCCAGGTCCCCGTGTCCCCGTGTCCCCGTGTCCCCGTGTCCCCGTGTCCCCGGCCGAGGAGCAGCAGCCGCCGCTGCCAGGAGGGGCTGGGACCCCCCCGTGCCCGGGCAGGGCTGCGAGGGGCAGCGGATCTCCAGCTCCTGCATCAGCCTGGGGGCTACCCCGGGGCAGCTCCCGGCGCTGGGATCCCCTCTCCCGGTGCGTGGCAATTGGGGGGGCTGGGGGGGCTCCTCCCGGCCGTCCCCCCGCACACCGCAGCCCCGTTTCCCCCTCTCCCGCTCCGCAGCGTGGCCTCCCTGCTCCCAGCCCATTCTCCTCTCCAGACCAGGAGTTTTCACATCATCCCCTGGCAGAGGAATGTCTTCCCCCAGCCCGCTCCCAAATCCCGGCACCCCCGGCACCCCCGGCCCGCCCGGGATTCCCTTCCCCAGCGCCGGGAAGGAGTTTGTACTCACCCCCTGCCTGCCGCTGTAGCTCTGAGTCTGGAGACCGGCTCTGATTCCGGCTCCATCACGTTTAGTGCATTGTCTCTGTCGGGCAATTTTTGCGGCAATCCATCAGAAATCGGGGGATAAGGCGGTTTGTGGGTACATCCTTCCCAGGAGCTCGGCTCTGCCTCGCTAAGGGGTTCAGCTGTGTCACAGACACCCCTGGCCCGGACGGCTCACTCCTTCCTCCTTCTCTTCTGGGTCCTTTTGCTTACACAGATCTTTTAATCCCATTTAACTCCCTCTCGGCAGACTGCAATTACCTTGGAAAAAGGAGAGAGAACACAAAGTACACTCTAGGAAGCCAGGCTGGCCCATGGTCGCTGGATTTCTTGCCTTTTTTTTTCCTCTCCTTATAAATAGTGCAATTTCTGTGATCTCTGATTCCCAAAGTCCGTGATTTCAAGTGTTTTTTCTTAGCTGTTACTTTTTTTGTTGTTGGTTGGTTGGTGGTTGTAATTATTATTTTTATTTGCAATGCAGATGTGCCTCCCACCCCCCAAGGATCTCTCCTCTGGACTTAGAGAGAAGAGGAAAAGGCAGATTTTGAGAAATGAAAATTATTTAAGGATGTCCTTACTTTCTCTCTCTGCTGCCCTCCTCTGTAATAGTGAAGCATTTACGAGAAATTATGCAAAATAAATAAATAATTTGGGAAAAAAAATAAAAAAAAAAATAAAAAAAGGGAAAGAGACTCTTTTGGCCAGAAGAACTGTGGGGAAAGAATTGAAGACCCCATCCAGGGGCCAGAGAGGGAAGCACAGGCCCTTCTTCAGGGAGGCTGCTGATGGAAATTACAGCCCCCTGCACTAACCTGTCCAGGGCCACCTTATAAAGTACCTGACATGGCTTTTCCCTTGGGAGCAGTGCTTGCTGCAGGCAGCTGGGAGCCTGTGGATGGGACTCAGTCCCCCAAAGCCCTGTTCCCCTCCTTGCGCTGCTCTGCTTCCCCAGGGCATCTCCAGAGCCCCTCTGCCCCAGCACCAAGGGATGGAATCTGCATCCCGGGAGGCAGGAACAGGGGCGTGAGTTTTCCTACAGAAGGTCCACCAGAACAAGTTGGATCCCAAGTCTGCTTGGCCAGCTCTGCCAGGAGAGGGGACTTCCACAGGCGGATAAAACCTTCATCCCCGCTTCCCCTCCTCATCCAAAGTCCCACCCAACCAACCGTGCAGCCCCAGGTCGTTCTTGGCCCCAGCAAACGCTGCAGCTCCCTGGGATCCCCTGAGGCAGGTGAGGGCAGCTCCGAGCTGCAGTCCCACCTTGTCCTGGCACCCCTGGGTGCCCCTGCCCCGCTGCCTCCCCCCGGCATCACCTCTGCCCTGGCACTTACTCTGCAGAGAGGCGAGAGGCTGAGCAGCATCTCCGGGCAGCCCCATGGCCGCGGGCATTCATTTGTCCCAGCAGCTCACGGCAATTGCTACTTCTTAAAAAAATAATGATGATAACAATAAAAAAAAAAAAAAAATTAAAGAAAAAAAAAAAAGGAAGAAAAAAAAAAAAAAAAAAAAAAAAGGAGGAAAAAAGAAAACTCAAACAAAGCCCTTTCCTCCCTCCTTCCCCTTCAAGGTGTCTCCTGCTCCGAGAGCCCGGGAGAGGCGGCCGGGGTGAGGGGCCCGGAGCCAGCCGGGGCTCTCTGGGGTCCCCCCAAATCCCCCAAATTCAGCAGATAATCCTTCCCCGGGGCTGCCGCGGACTCGTCCCCCTCGGGCCGTGGCTCCACGGGTGGGTCATGGATGCTGCAGGGATCCAGGAGAGAAGGGCGGTTGGGAGCGGGCGCTGGGAGGGACATGGATGTGAAAGAGGTGGAAGTTCTGAGGCTGCCCTTGTCCTTTTAAATAGCTGCAGCCCGGGGACTCCGGGCTGGCGGGGGTGCCCCAGGTATCCGGTTTCAGCAAACAGCAGCTAATGAGCAGAGATCCAGCCTCCGAGGGGCAGGATCAGCGCTGCCGCCGGGCAGGGGCACCCCGGGCACCCCACCAGGAGGGGAGGGCTGCGGGTCAGGGGCTGCGTGGGCACTGGCAGGGCAGGGAACAGGGCTGCAGGGGCTGCAGGACCCCCAGGGCAAGGGGACGGGGCTGCAGGGGCTGCAGGACCCCCAGGGCAAGGGGACGGGGCTGCAGGAGCTGCAGGACCCCCAGGGCAAGGGGACGGGGCTGCAGGAGCTGCAGGACCCCCAGGGCAGGGAACAGGGCTGCAGGACCCCCAGGGCAGGGAACAGGGCTGCAGGACCCCCAGGGCAAGGGAACAGGACTGCAGGACCCCCAGGGCAAGGGAACAGGGCTGCAGGACCCCCAGGGCAAGGGAACAGGGCTGCAGGACCCCCAGGGCAAGGGAACGGGGCTGCAGGGGCTGCAGGACCCCCAGGGCAAGGGAACAGGGCTGCAGGGGCTGCAGGACCCCCAGGGCAAGGGGATGGGGCTGCAGGGCACAGGGCAGGTCCTGCGAGGTGCTGAGCACCCAGTACAGATGGGAGACACCAGTCTGGGGCTGCCATCAGAGCTGCCATCCCGCCCCAGGGGCTCCCTCCACAAAGGTGGTCTGTATCTCACTGCATTGCCCCCTGAGATGGAAAAGGGCTCAGACCTGGGCACAGGCACTAAACTTAAACACTCCCCATGAAAAATACACAGCCACAAACAGGACCCCACATCGACCCAGGTGCGTGAGGCTAGAGGGGAGTGATGTGACATCACATTCACACCAGAAAATGCGAGGACCCACCGGCCTCACTCAGCAATGCAGGCTTTACTCAAAAACCTGACCTCAGAGCGTGGCCAAAAGCTGAGGTTTCCACCATAAATCAGATCTCCCATATGACATCTTCTGCTACCATGCATGCTAAGGGCTTCTCTCCCTTAATGCATACATTTGGCTTAGTTGTGGTTGCTTGCTGGGGCTGTGGTTTTGCATCTCCCAGTTTCTATAGGCAGAAGATTTTATTCATACCTTTGCTCTGAAGTATCTACATTCTGCTTCCTTTCTTGCTATAGCAGATGAGTAGTTTTAAGTAGTTTTAAATAGTCTTAAGTAGCAATGGCAAAACAATTTGAAACAAGCAGCGTTGGGACTGGGGTTAACTAACAGCCTCCCACTTCCTCTGTCCTTCAGAAAACCACCTCAGAAGGGTGCAGCTCAGTTACACATCCAGATACTTGTAAAAAATTCCTATTCACAGAAAAATGTGTCTCAAACCCAGGAACTCAGATGACCCAAAACAGTTCAGCTTTGAGGACTGTGACTTTAGGGACAGCAGGCAGTGACACAGCTTGTCAGAAACACCATAAAATCTCTACTTTTCTTAGCTATTTTTTCCCCCAGCTGTTCTTTCCATGTCACTCAGTCACACATTCCTCACAGAGAAACGTATTGTAGCCATGCTGAAGTGTTTAAGATAAAGCTTTAATCAATTAAACAAACCCCCAACTTTGCAAATAATCGTGGGTTAATCTCTCTGCTGTTGAATACACCTTGGATTCTCCTGCTTATTTCTACCTTTTCTCTCTTCTGAATGCAGCAAATATTTAGTAAACTCCTTTTCCCTCAGAAAAACCCAAACCCCACCCTGCCCAGAAAGAAACAAGGCCTGGCTTTTCAGAGAGAGGGACAAAAAGGAAAGGAAAATGATGTGCTACATCTATTTGCAAAAACTTATCCAAAGTGGGTGTGCAGTGGGAAAGGACTGATGGTGCTTCAGGTCCACAGCATCTCACACCAAGGACCACCATAAAACTCACTGACAGCCTCATCCTCAAGTCCTCCACTCATATTTGCTCCAATGAACATTTTCAAACCAAACACATGCCTAAAAGCTTTGCTAGCACGAAGACATAAATGTATCCCAGCAGTAGGAAAAAGGGAATTAGTTTAAAACAAAAGGAAACCCAACATTGCTGAAGCCAAGACTTGTGCCAAGTGAATTCAGGTTCAAAAATTAGACCTCATTCTTCAAAAAGAGAAAAGCCACAACATATGATCTGAATAGAAATATTTAGTGGATTTATTTTTCTTCCCTTCCAAATTTAAATAGAAGCCATTTAAAAACACTAAATAAACTGAACTAAAACAGCACAGCAGTGAAATGAAAAAAAAAAAAAGAGGGAAGAAAAAGAAAAAAGGGAATTGAATAGTTTAATTAGCCAAAAAATAAAACGTACAGGGGAGGAGGAAATACCACCACACAACAGGGGTAATATGGAACAGAACACTTGCTTTTGATGAAACACTCTCTCTCAAAAAAAGCAGCTTGCCATTACAGCCTGCACAAATACAGCATCTTAAATATTCACCCATATTTAGCCACTTTCCAGAAGAACCAGTACCCACCTCTCCTCAGGAGCTGTAGCTGGTTAAGCATCAAGGCTCTCATTAATATAATTTTGTCTCTTTGCTCCTCTTAGAAAAGCGAGTGTGGAGGCAGCTGGGAGCCACAGCAAGAGGAATTATAGGGATGTGTTTGGATATATTTAGATAAATACTCCATTCAGGTTTAAAAACCGTGGCATAACCAGGCAGAAAGCGAAAACCACGGCACAGGAAAAACCCGTGGGAGGGATCAAACAAACACATGAAGGAAAGGTGGGATAAAGAGCCTTTCACTCCCTGCTGGGCTGAGGATCCAGCCCGGAGCAGGAGCATCCAGAGGCGCAGGAGAAGGGAAGCGGCTCTGCCATGGGGGTGATGCTCTCATGGCAGGGGGGCACAGCCCTGGCTTCTGCACGGAGCAGGGCACTGGGCAGGGCTCATCCACGCCTGTAGGGCCGGCAGGGATGGGACATTGGTGGGCACAAAGCAGGGCTCTGCCAGCCCAGCCCAGGCAGGGAAGGAGTGCTGACTCAGCAAACAGCAGCAGCCTCGGCAGCCAGAGCCCCCCGGGCAGGGACTGAGCACTGGGCTGGCACCGAGGTGTTTCTGCCAAAGCTACCATTTCTATCCCTTTTTCTCCCCCCATACTTGGCTGCAGTGCTCTCTCAGGTATGTAATTCCCTGTATAGGATTTCCTAATCCCTACACGACTTTTCTATTCAGCTCCTGCACGTAACATGGCTCTACTAGCACTCCTCACATCCATGAGCTCTACTCAAATGCCTGGCACTAGCTCAAGCCCTGGATTAAAGTCTTCCCTACCTTGTAGGGACATGACCAGGAGCAGAAACCTGCTGAAGAGCTTCATGTGCCTGCTGAGAAGTCTCACCATCCACGGCAGGGTCAAGATCTCAAGGAAGGCAGAAGGTGGCCCAGCTGGGACCTGGACCATGGATGCTCCTAATTTGCTCTCTCTGGTTTCAGCCATCACTGCAAGATTAGGAGGTTTCTGCAGAGGAGCAGAATGTGCAGCACTCCTGGGTTTAGGGTTTGCTGTTTGACAGCTATTCATGATCCAAAAGCTGCTGTGGGTTGTGTTTATTGTTCCCAGTGCACTGTGGAAAGTATTAATTATAGAGGAGATGTACAGAAAGGTTGAAAATCCTGTATGTAACAGAATTGCTGCTCAGTGTTATTTCCCCCCCTCTCCACAGCCTTCCTGACAAAGCCATTCCTGTCCTGTACCACAGGCTGCCGGTGACATGTTTGAACTTCTGCAGCCTTTTGATGTAAAATGTTTTAAATTCTTTTTGGGAACACTAAAGGCTTTTGTCTGCTGGCCG